GAGGCGCATAGCGGGAGTCTCTCTAGTTTTGATAACACTCACTGCTTTATGCTGGGCATTTCTACTCGTAAACTCGTGCGTAATCTACCGCGCGTTTTAACACAGTTTCAAGCAAATTTCTACTGAACACGGAAATTCGCCTCTTTTGTTTTACTTGTATCCTATGAAGGATTCCCAGAGGATATGTCATACCATCAACTTATCATCAATACTGAATACTAAGTTCTTAAGCATTTTCGAAGTTAACTTCGAACTTACCAGTTTGAATAAATTTTTCGCGGGTGGAAGGAAGCCAGTTGCATAACCTGGCGACTCTCCCAGAGCAAGTACATTTCGAGTTCCTTCGTGATAATATAAGATCTTATAGCGAGTGTTGTCGTCCATGAGTGGGCCGCGGTTTCGCCACAGGACTCTGCAAGAACCGAGGGTTGCATTTATATAATGACGTTATCGAGAGTTGTTTTCACCTGAAACCATTTGCTTCTGTATGTCCTCTAAAGGCACCGACGGTTGCTTGAGTGAAAGCTCGTGCCTCTAATAAAGCATGAAGGCAGGGCAGGAAAGGAGATCGTTTGGTCACAGTATCCCTTTTATATGGATAGTTTTCCCACAGTAACGTTCCCTCCCGACGTCTTCTTCGATGAGCTTCCCGAGCCGTAGACACTATCTCTCACCCGCAACCAAATAGGCACCTGATGTGGATTTCTCAAAGATGATGTGCGGTAGCTAACCACGCCCACCAGTTACTTGTCATGAGCTCAAGATGGCAGCATTGGTAGGAAGGTCGTCCTAGCGGTGCGGCAATCCACGCTCCCTCGCACTCCATCTCCTTGGCAGGGATCATAACACTACATGGGCTTGACGATGGTACTCATTCAGCATTTTACTATCGATTAAACCGGTTTGCTGTCTACACAATAATCTTGATTTCCATCAAAGAGCCGCTTCACCTGGCCAAAGGGAAGATTCCGTCACCATCGGCAAGGATGATGTGCGGCCTGTTGAACATCTTCACGGTGTGCCAATTAGCCAGAGAGCTCCAAGGTAACCAAGGGGCATCGCTGGATTCTCGCAAGTGAGTCGCCGACTTGGAGCCGCACGAGCCGCAAACAACCATTTAGCGTACG